CTATGATTCTATGATTCTATGAAATGTGTCAAAAGCATTTTCCCCTTTTTGTGTAGCCATTCTGTAATGTGACCAGAATCCTGGTAAAGGCAAACAAGCAGTGTCTGAGTGGCCCTGCCATCACTCTCTCTCCCCAAAAGAAATTTAAAAAAAAAAAAAAAAAAAAAAAAAGACAAGGAAGGGCCTGAAGTACTGCATGCCTTCTTTGCCTCAGTCTTTGTTAGCAAGCCCAACCTTCAGGAATCCCAGGTCCCAGAGACCAGGGGAAAAGGCTGGAGCAAGATGCACCCTTGGTGGAAGAGGATCAGGCCAGAGAATACTTAAGCAAACTGGACGTGCATAAGTGCATGGGCTCCAATAGGATGCACCCACAAGTGCTGAAGGAGCTGGCAGATATCATTGCAAGGCCACTCTTGATAATCTTTGATTGATCGTGGTAACTGGGAGAACTGCCCGAAGACTAGAAGAAAGCAGGTGTTACTCCTATCTTAAAGAAGACCAAGAGGGAGAACCCACGGAACTACAAGCTTCATCCCTGGGAAGGTGATGGAGCAGCTAATCCTGGAAACCGTTTCCAGGCACATTAAAGACAAGAAAACTGTCAGAAGTTAGTGTGGCTTTACCAAGGGGAAGTCATGCTTGACCAACTTGATAAACTTCTGTGATGAAATGACTGGCCTGGTAGATGAGGGGAGAATAATGGATATTGTCTACCTGGACTCCAGGAAGGTCTTTGACACTGTCTCTCGTAAGATCCTCATAGACAAACTGTCGATGTGTGGGCTGGATAAGCAGACAGTGAGATGGATAGAAAAATCGTGGAATGGCCAGGCCCTGAGAGTGGTGATCAGTGGCACAAGGTCTAGTTGGAGGCAGTAACTAGTGGTGTACCCCAGCGGTCAGTCTTGCTTAACATCTTCATTAATGATCTGGATGATGGAGCAAATTGTACCATCAGCAAGTTTGCTTATGACACAAAAATGTGAGGAGTGGCTGATACACCGGAGGGTCATGCTACCATCCAGAGGGATCTTGACAGGCTGGAGAAATAGGCTGAAAAAGACCTGATGAAGTTCAACAAGGAGAAGTACAGAGTTGTGCACTTGGGGAGGAACAACCCCACGCACCAGTACATGCTGGGGGCCACTCAGCTGGAAAGTAGCTTAGGAGAAAAGGACTTGGGCATCCTGGTGGACACCAAGTTGACCATGAGCCAGCAGTGTGCCCTTGTGGCAAACAGGCTAATGTTTTCCCAGGCTGAGTTAGACCAAATTCTAATTCTGGACATGGTCTCGGGCAACTGGCTCTAGGTGACCCTGCTTTAGCAAGCAGTTGGACAAGATGAGCTCCAGAGGTTCCTTCCCACCTCAGCCATTCTGTGTGTGTGAGTGCAGCAGTGCATGCTTAAGGTTGTTAAAGCAGCTGGATGATACAGCATCTAACTTTTAGGTGGCCCTGCAAAACACAGCGTAGTACATGGGCAAAGACATGTAGGTTCTGTTTGTGTTGCGTGGGAGGATGAGGTGTGTCAGAAGACAGACTGTTGAACAGATACCAGTCTCAACAGGGCGCTTTCTAAAATTGGTGCCCTTCAGCATGCAAGTGGCTAGACCAATCAAAAGGGAGCACTGACTAACATGATACTTTCCTCAGGTTTGGATTTTTTTTTTTTTTTCACTCTTGGGACCCACAGCTTGAAACCCTTTTCTGAGAACAGGCAGCTACCTGCTCTCCTTCAAATAACTGAAGATAAGTCTTTGTTTGTAATAACTTCAAATAACTCTTCTTTTTCTAAATCCAGCAGTGGGAGGGGAAGATGCTACTGCATTGGATTTGCATGTCAAGGTTTTGATAGTGGGGTTGGCTACAGGGGTGGCTTCTGTGAGAGGTTACTAGAGGCTTCCCCTGTGTCCGATAGACCCAATGCCAGCCAGCTTCAAGTTGGATCCACTGCTGGCCAAGGCTGGGATAACATATTTAAGAAGGTGGAAAAAACTGCTGCGAATACAGCAGTGGATAGAGGAGTGAGAATATGTGAGGGAAGCAACTCTGCAGACACTCAGGTCAGTGAAGAAGGAGGGGAGGAGGTGCTCCAGGCGCCGGAGCAGAGGTTCCCATGCAGCCCGTGGTGCAGCCCATGGTGAGGCAGCTGTGCCCCTGCAGCCATGGAGGTGACGGGGGAGCAGAGATACACCTGCAGCCTGGGGAGGACCCCAAGCTGTAGCAGGTGGATGACTAAAGGAGGCTGTGACGCCATGGGAAGCCTGCTCTGGAGCAGGCTCCTGGCAGGACCTGTGGGCCCATGGAGAGAGGAGCCCAGGCTGGAGCAGGTTTTCTGGCAGGACGTGTGAACCTGTGGGGGACCCATGCTGGAGCAGTTCATGAAGAACTGCAGCTTGTGGGAGAATTTCATGGAAGACTGTGTTTTGTGGGAGGGACCGACTCACATTGGAGAGGTTCATGGAGGACTGTCCCCCGTGGGAGGGACCCCACACTGGAGTAGGGGAAGAGTCTGAGGAGCCCTCCCCATAAGGAGGAAGGAGCAGCAGAGACAATTTGTGGTGAATTGACTGCACCTGCCATTCTGCGTCCCCCTGCACTGCTGAGGGGAAGGAGGTAGAGAAATCAGGAGTAAAGCTAAGCCTGTGAAGAAAGGAGGGGTGGAGGGAAGGTGTTTTTAAGATTTGTTTTTGTTTCTCATTATCCTACTCTGATTTGATTGGTAATAAATTAAATTAGTTTTTCCCTATTCTGAGTCTGTTTTGCCTGTAATTGATTAGTGATCCCTCCCTGTCCTTATCTCGACCCACGAGCCTTTTGGTATATGTTCTCTCCCCTGTGCAGTTGAGGGGAGTGACAGCGTGGTTTTGATGGGCACCTGGCATGTAGCCAGGGTCAACCCACCACAGCTACCCTTCCTTTAATATGATAATTTGATGGTTAGATCATTCTTTTAAGATCCACTTCCTTCTTCAGTCCTAGAGGGTTGAACTAATGGCTTCCATATCTCTGAAGGCGCTGTACCAACAGCTTGTAATATATGAAGTGTGGGGGTATGTGTGAGGTGGGGAGTCTGTGCACCCATTAAAGCTCTGTCTGTGTGCAGAAAATGCTGCAGGATTCAGAGGACATGAGTGGAGGGAAGCCCAGAGCCCAGGGCAGGAAGTAGCCATGGTTGGAATGGCTGTGTGGGCAGATCTCCTACCTCCTGGGAGGGCAGCTGTGCATATTTTCTGTTTAACAGTGATTTGTATGCAGAAACAGACCGCTTCTCAGAGCTGGCTGGCCTGCCTGCTGGGCTACTCACCTGCTCCATCTATTTTCAGCCCATGAATCTTTTAATGAAAATGTCATTTACATGGAAGAAGCAATGTGGAACATGGAACGTAATAGGAAGTAAAGCAAAAGAGGAGAAAAATAAGTGCCAGCAATACAGAAGCCCAGCGAACAAGCATTTAAAATTCTAGTAGTACCTTTTTCTTCCTTTCTGAATTTTTTGAATTTGTGATATTGATTTGAACTCAAAGTGATGAAAGATAAGAGTTAAAAATGGAGTTGAAAACTGTTCTCAAGGCATCTGCTTGGAAATTGATATAATTAGTTTACTTACAAATTGGCCTTTAGAGTTCACTCAGGATGGAAGTACCCTTAAGCAGGAGTACAGAACTGTGGTCCCCTTTATCTGTCCCCTTTCGTTCTTCTCTCTTAGAGAATTCAGTAACAGATACTTCATCAGATTTGAGAAAATGTAGGAGAAATTTATCCTTTTTCTTTACAGATGAGTACTGGGATATTGTCTGAACCAAAAGGCTTTGCCACTTACGAAAAAAATGATGTTAATTTAGTTAGTTATCTTTTGTCTGAATCCAAAGAAATGAGAACTGAATTTATATGAAAAAGTCTTCCACAAATACAATTATTTTCTCAAGTTCCAATCACATATACAGATGGCAATTTTGATGGTGCAACCAAACTATGATGCATTTATTTATGCATATATGCATTTATTTTTCATATGAATATAGAAGTAATTTCACCATTGTTTCAATATCAATAATACCTGGATGTGATTTTATTTAATAGTTACCTAAAATATTAAATTATAATTTGTGCATTTTTATGCAGTGCAGTGTTAGAAGCCAAGTTTTTGTCTGTTGCACTTCTCTAACTCACCCAGTTGTATAACTGACAGCTGTTATTCTTCAGTAATATCTCAGAATTTTAATTTCAGTTATATTCTCAATTCTTCTGGGATGCAAGAGCCGTTTGACTGCTCAGTCTACTAGAGCACAGTTGAGGATATGACATTGTGTAATTCGTACATAAGGGAAAGA